ACGTTTATCGACCACTTGGAGGAAGATGGTGGCCTGGTGCTGGAGGTCCTTCTCCTTGGGGTTCTTCACGTGGCAGGTGTACCTGCCCGTGTCGCTGAACTCCAGGTCCTTCAGCAGGATGGAAAGGTTGTTCATCTTCTCCTTCGTGGAGCCCTCCAGAGTGATGCGGTCGTCATTTTTCAGATGCACCCTGGGGTCAGATTTCTCTGTCTTCACGGTCCCGCGAATGAGCTGGGAGGTGGATGGGGAAGGGAAGGTGGACAAGACAGAATCAGGGTCCTCAGGGTCGTGACATCACTCCCGCCCTTCGTGGGTCCCAGCCCCGCCTCCTGCAGGGGAGCCTGTGGTCGGCGGGCTCCCTCCCGCCTGCTCTCCTCCCAGTGCCGAGAGCTCTGCTAGTCTGACCTGGACATGGGGTGCTTCACCCTAAACCCAGCTCTCCTGCTGAGGTGTCACTGGAACGCAGCACGCCTCCTGAAAACACCAGCTCCTTCCCCTCTGCCACTCCCCCAGGTTTGCTGCCATGGTCCTTGGCCCTCCGTGAAGGCCCGGGTCAATCCTACAGCAGCCCATCGGCACCCTCCAAGCTCTGCATTCAACTATGTCAAGTTGGTCACTCGTGGCTTCCCTGTGTTCGTCTTCATGGCCCCTTCTAGACTGCAGAGTGCGTCCTCAGTAAACCCTGCTGATGGACCTGTCCCCACCCACAGCCCTGTGGATGCTCCGGTAGGTCTCTCCTCTCAGCTTCCTCTCCTTTCATTCTCCAGTTCCCTTGTCAGTCTTCTCATTCCCTCTCTCCAAACCTTTCAAAGGCCCTTCTCACTCCTGTTTTATAAATTAAATTAATTAATTTTTACACAAGCAATTCAAGTTTCACGTATTTCTTCAGACCAAATAGAGGACCCCGGCCAAGAATTCCAACAGACCCCCAAATTCTGGCAACAGGATCTACGCACCCCTCCCACTTAGATCTTTCTGGGTAGGCTCTACAAAGAACACTGGGAGAAGGGTGACAAAGGGTGAACTTGGGGACCATCACAGTGGGGTCAGTCTCCAGGGACCAGAGTCTGGGATGGAGGCAGGGCTACCCAATGGGGGGGGGCATTTGGTCTGTCCAGTCCTGTCCTCCCCACACTACTTACAATCTTGAATGTGTCACTGCTGTTGTAAGACCACCAAAAGCCCAGGTCATGGAAGCCAAAGCAGCTGGAGAAGGTGCAGGGCAGCAGGATCTCCGTGCCATTGACAGCGTAGATGGTGGTGGCCTTTCCCACAGACACCTCCAGGGACAGGCACGCAGGGAGCAGGAAGAGACCTGTGCAGGGCACCACCTCCCTTAATACAACCCCTCTGGAACCTGCAGGCTGGAGCTGGGGAAGGGGTCTCGGGAAGGGCAGGTGGCTTAGCCAAGCAGGGGGGTCCAGTCACCCTCAGTGTGAACTTCAGAAGATGGTTCTCTTTGCTTCAATTGGCACTACCTGGGCCGCCCGCCTTAGTTCATTTCTCGCACCGTGCCTGGGCGGGATTGAATTCTGGGCCTTAGCAGCCCTTGTGGCATTCTGAGTGACCACTAGGGGTCACCCCAACCCAAGAAAAGTAGGCCCTTGCCTTGGTGCTGTCAGTCCCAACCTCCTACCAGGCGGGTACATCCCTGTCCCACCCCAAGTGCACGAGGGGTTCTTGGATTTGCCCCAGGAACTTCCCCAAGAACAGTGCGCAGGCCTCTGCGCTCTCAGGACCTCGGGGAGGGCACGGAGCAAGGTTCCCTGCAGTGAAGAAAACTGCAGCCCAGTCCCAGACACTGTTCCCAGAGCCCTGGAGGCTCGCACCAGCCCCACTAGTCCGGAGGAGCGGAGGGCCAGAGGGACACTCCAATGGACCTTGCTTGGCCTTCTGAGTCCAACACCCTTGGCCACCGAACAGGACACCCAGGACAGAACTGACGGCCAGGTAGGATGGGGGTAGGGGGTAGGGAATAGGGGTGTTGGTGGGATGGGCCTAGTCTCAGCACTGGGCAGCAGCCACCTGGTGACTAAAGCAATGAGGAGAGAAAGTAAGAGGGCTGAAGATGGGGGG